CAACTTTTACCAATTACAGTATTTAGAATTCAATCAACCAATGATGTACCTAATACATCTATTGAAGATATTGCTGCATATTATATCAAAGTAGATATTAAAAGTCTCTTTTGATAATTTTATCTATAATTTTCTTTTAGAAAATTATTGAAATACAACTAACTCGTACATATTTAATTGATCGTTATTCGTTTGGCGCTTGTATTGCCGTTGAAATTGCTCTACAACTTCCATCAATTACACAACTTTTATTACTTGATAGTAGTCATTCATATGTTGTTACTCATACAAAACAATATAGAACAAAATTTGATGAACCTAAATATGCTGAAGCTGCAGTGATATGTCATCTTTTTTTTTCCTTATTAATCTATTTTATTTTATTGAATTCTACGATTCATGTTTATTTTGTAACTTTATGCTTTTCTACAATAATTTATTCCAGATTTAGATCAATAGAAAGTAAGATTGAATTAAAATAAGATGATTTCATTCTCGTGTTTTCTTTTTTAATTTGTTTTAGATACTATCAGATTTAGCAAATCTTCCATCATATGATACATGTTTATTATTTGCAGCTGAAATTCTTAATAAAACAATCAATATTGTTGTAGATAATGTAATTTTAATTGCAAAACGATTTCATAATAAATTATTATTGGCGGAAAAATATATTCCATCAAATAAAATACAATGTCACACAATATTATTTCGTGTACAAACAAGTAGTGAATATAGTGAAACAATTAGAGATGATTATGGAATGTCGATAGTAAGAATTTTGGATTGTTTTTTTTTTCTTAATGAACAAAAAATTGAATAATTTATTTATTATTACAGATATGTTAAGGTCCACTTCAAGTCCTAGTCATTCCAGGTGATCACCGAACATTTTTGCAAGGCGAAAATGTAAAAATGTTAGCTGCTCAGATTACAACTGTTATAAGTAACAGTTCTTGACGAATGTGCAATGATTTATTTTGAATGATTTACAATCAACAAAATCATATGACATGTGTTCTTGTTGTTCTTGTTGTTCTATTTGTATTTTTTAATTTTTCCCATTGTGATATATAATCTCTTATTGTATTTTAACCGTTTTACAAAATATTTTAAAGAGGAAAAAAAATACGAAAAACAAAAATAATATTTCTTAATTCACCTCAAATAGGTCGAAAGTGTTTCGTTTGGTTTTTTTTTGAATGAAAGAAAGAAAAGTTTTTGAAGATTCTTTAAAAAGAATTTTCGTAGTTGCGAAAAATTTTCAAATGAAAACAATGGCGAATCTAGAATTTGGTAACATGAGGTACTTCAGAGAAAAGAAAAGAGCGATTATGGTCAAAAAAAGAAAATATTTTGAAGGCCGTTAAAAGTATTTTTAGCTCTTTTCTATTGAAAAAAACTGAAAAAAAAAGTTTGCAAGGAGGAGAGGAAGCAATCTTCTTTAGCTCCATCCTCTTAAACTCTTCACCGAATGAAAAAGCACAATTTTGATTTGTTTTTTTTTTCGACAGTATAGCCCATAAATAATTAGACAATAGAAAAAAATGCAACGTCTTCAAGTTCCTTTAATTGATCAGAATAACTTTTTTGTGCCTGTTTTAGAAGATTCATGCTACATATGGATGTATTAGGACAATCGGTTAGATGGATGACAACGTACGGGACTTTAGACTCCGTAGTAGTATGAAATGAAGAAGAATTTTTATGCTTTGTTTTATTTCGGGCAAGTTGTTTGACAATCGATTCTAGGTCACGCTGACAAAAAAAAGAAGAATAACAGGGAAAGAGAAGAGAAGCGAAGAATCAGAAAAAAGACTCAGAAAAGAGAAGAAAGAAAGGAAAAATGCATATATATATTACTCATCTCGTTAACACGTGGCATCTGCATAATTATTGTATGGATCTTATGCCTTTTCTCTCTTCATACAATATTTGTTGTTTCACGCTCCTCTTTTTTTTACTTTTGTTCTATTTTTCCTCTTATTTTATTTTAATTTAGTTCACTATTGATATCTATGGCCCTAAAGCTCAATTATCCCTTTAGAGTCAACATAGTCATATGGCTAAAGAATGCTAATAAAAAAAAAGTAAAACACTAAAATACTTCTAGTAAAATCTTATGGTATTAATATGTAACCGAGGCCCTAATCTGTAACAATTTTTAATAAAATATGTTGATCGGGTTTTTCTTGTTGACCAGCTTTTTAACAATTTCCGTTTTCCCTTTAACGTAACCTTTTTTTTTATTCTTTAAGTTTTGTCTACTATTTATTCTTGTTCAGTTCACTTTTCTATTACGATTTTATTCCTCTGTAATAATATATACTTTGATAAGGTTGTATAAACCAAAATAATTCAATTGTGTGCTTTTTATTTTTACAAGATAAAACTTCGTATCTTAAATGCAGTCTACTATAAAAAGCCAATCACAAAATCTAGAACTATTTTCGCTCTTATATCATTATGTTTGATTCACAATGTATAAAATAAATAATGTTTTCTATAGATAGATGACTAATATACATATTAATTGAATTCTAACTAATAACAATTTTTTTTTAATCTAATGATAAATCAAGATAAATTTTATTAATGAATATGAAATAAAAAAGTAATAAATCGACTAATGTACGAACAGTAATCGAAAAACGTAAGAACCATGTATCGAATATTCGAGACTTCTAAATGTTCAATTGGGCTTATCTAAAAGAAACAAAAAAAGATAAAATCGTGTCTCAAATATTCATTTTTCTATGAAAATATCGACTTGTGGCCTGGCAAAACCTCGTGAAAATGAAAACCAAAGAATTACAATAGATCACAATCGAAAATGATTGTGCTTAGGATTAAAAGGAAATTTGTTTTCTAACGATATGTTCAGAAAACTTTCACTATAATTGTATATAGGATTACTCAAGGTTAACGGTTCAGATTAACATGTAATAACAAGTTTTGGGATTGACCGATTTCAATAAAAATTTACTTTGTTTTTCTTGATTGTTTTGAACTTCCTGACCTATATCGTTTTCATCATCTTTTCTATAACCAACATTTATGTATTCGCCTTTAGAATTTCGTCATATTCTTATCTTCAATATGCCTTGATTCGAAGTTGAACCAGATAAATTTTTCGAAACTTGTTGCTGGTCCATTATTTTCGTTGTTATCGTTTAAACGAAAAAGAAACACTGCTATATATAGTGAATAGAAATGATAAACACAATGAACTACTACTAAGAAAGAATTTGGATTGATTGTGTTCAATGGCTCAAAAATTGCTATGCAGAATTTTGTTTAATATATTTCTGAATATGTATATATGGATTTTTTATTAGAAATGCAGCACATATTTCATCAAGCAAAAAGAGCTGATAGATTTGAAATTTTTTTTGAAAAATGAAATCAAAAAAAAAAATTTCGGCTGTAATGTTGATGAAATAATGTTTTTTTTTGTATGCAATAGAATATGGTATTTTCTACATGATCTTTGAGGTCTTTGTTTATTCCTAACTTGAAAAAAGTTCAATAGAAATAAATATTGTTGAGGGACATGTGGGTGTATGTATTTGTTTTTAATTATATGCATTCTAATTAGTTATATGATAAACAAATATTGATTATGATGTGATGACATCTTCGCTCCTCTCCCCCAAATTTTCCATATTTACTTTATCTTTTCTTTTCACTTAGAAATATTCTTGGACGTTAAAATATGTTATTATTATTGAAATTCTTCTGTTGTTTTTTACATTGTTTCACGTTCTGTTAACTTGATTAGCCCACTCACACGAACGATACAAATATTCTGAACAAATATTTTATAATTTCAAGTGAATAACATGATAGTGCGTAGGTTATTTCTTGCCAGCCTATCTAAGGACGGTGCTCTTTTCTTTGTGTCTACAGTTAAATTTCGAGTAGTTGAATAAGTAAGTGTTGTTATACTGTTTCTATGATTTTCTAAACAATTAATTTTTTTTAGAAATTATCAAATGAACTCTAAAGGTCGACGAATGATTTATATATGATTATTGTAACAGGTCAGTTGATGTTTTAGTTAGGATTTTTATCTTAGACTTTTCCTTTTCGAATTCAAAAAAAATCATCTTTCATCTGTTTTTGGGAATATTACTAAATATTATAAACTGCATTAAAAAATTAATTTTACTTTCAGTAGAGTATATTTCTCAGACTCCTTTTTTTTTCTTTAATTCTTTGTAATCGCTCCACGGATATTGTAAAATATTGATGTGCTATGCGTGAAGGTATTTGCCCAAAGGGGTAATAGACGTCCTTCCAGCCATCGAGCGATTACTTTCTTCTGTCCCTTGGGGTCCCTTTGAGTTGACAGTTTAAGGATTTAATCGATCAATACTATATAGAATAAGATAGTTTTGCGTATGGTCTCTGTGGCTGTCACTGGTGGCTATCCCGCCGGACAGAGCAGGATCAAGGTTTTCATAGGGGATTGAGCTATTTTCATATTGTTTCAGTCGGGATCATAATGGATAGAAAGTTGAAAAATAAAATCAAAAAATATTAGATAAGGTATAGATTAAGTTTTTCGTTTGTTTTGTTTTGTTATGTTTTTTGTATGTTATTCAATATTTTTTTTGTAAGAGTGTTTGTTTTCTAATTATTTAAATAAAAGAATTTGAATCTATAGTTACATTTAGAGATATGAATGAATTTTAGTCAATCTCCTGGTAATTTAAAGGTAAAACTTTTTTTGATTTATTTAATTTAAATACTTTCCTTATTTATTTATTTTCTATGGTCTTCACTATACGAACATATCAACATCATTCTTCAAAATACATTATTGCCGATTTTTTTTCTTTTTACATATGTATATTATTTGTTTGTTAATTTAAATTTTAATAAATAAATTTCTGACAAAAAACAAAAAAAGAACTTATTGTTTTATATATCTATATACCTATGTATCTAATTTTTCTTTCAACAGATCAGTATCTTTGCACAAAACATACAGTACAATGTCATTTCGAATACGTAAAATAAAAAAAGATCCTCCAATCAGTACAGATTCAAATACAAGTACCGATGCAAGTACGGATACAAGTACAGATACAAGTATAAATACAAATAAAGGTACAGATACAAGTACAACTAGTTCAAAAGAAATATACTATCCAAAAATAACAATTTCACAAGAAGATATGTTTCGTATTTTTGCTTATTTAACAATATTGTTCATTGGAGATAATTCCGTACGTACAATTTATCGTGATTTTGTTCAAATATTTTCTACTGGTAGATTATTAAAAAAAGGAGATGCGACTATACAACATGGTGAATATAAAATGGAAGGTGAAGTTCGTTTACAAAAAGGTGGTAAACGTGGACATCGAGATTATAAAGATGTACGTTATTATTTTTGTCAAACTTCATCGACACAATTAATTTATATATATATACCAACTGTCTTTGGAGATATAGCACAAAGAAATATTGATTATTTAAAAACAATCAAGAATTGTAGATTTATTCATGCTGTTATTTTTTCATTATATCATGGTGATTTGAATTTGTAAGTTACCATATATACATAGATAATTATTATTTGTTTTTATTTATATAGTGCTCAATTGAAAAAAATTGAAATACCATTCAACCAACATTTAGAACAATATGATGAAAATTTTAATAATATTTGTATGCATCTACTAGATATATGTGAAAATAAAAAAGATCGTCACCAAAAAAAAATCTGGATGGGACCATTTCCACCAAATATGAAATTAACTAAAGAATAAAAAGAACAATTCAAAGAAATAATTCTTCATACAGATACAATTACTAAAATAAATGGTTTCAAACGATTTAAGCGTAATTTCATTTGGAAAAAAACTCATAAAGAATTATTAATAAAAAATACACATTATTTTTCACCGAAAGGTATTCGTTTAATGACACAATTTCTTGCTGAAATTATCGGCACAAGAGGGGAAAGGACAATATAATTAAATAAATTTGTTTTTTTTTGTTCATTTGTTTTTTTATTTTTCTATATTTAATAAATAAAAAATAAATATGTCTATTACATTTATGCTTTGTCTTCCAGATTACAAATCATAAGAAATCAAAATGAATAAACCAATTACAATTACATCATCAATAAAACAAAATGATATAATAGATGTCGATAGATCCTTAGTTCAACCAGGTTCAACTGATCAAAATGTTAAATCAAATAATCAAGTTAATAAAGAATCAGGTATCAAACGTCAATGGGAAGAACTAGATGAAGATAAAAGTAACCGACAAAATTGTGAACCAATAATGATTACTGATGATTATTTTGATTACAATCAAGATTTACAAGAAGATTTTACTTATACAATTCAATCATTCTATGCTCCAACTACTAATAGAATCAAAATGGTATCAATTCTTCGTCAACTTTAAGACAAATTTTCATAAACTTTGTTTTGTTTTTCTTTTAATATTTTTGTATCTCTAGTTTTTTTTTCTTCTTAATGCTATTAAATATTAGTATTGTACTACAGCGTATTCCTATATTCATTTATAGATTAATAAAAAAAAAATGTCTCGTCAAAATTTACAACGTCAACCATCAGCTGTATTTACTTCAGATCAAGATAATGATGGTGATCAAAATAATGATACTAATTTAATGGATATACAATTTTCAACACCTGAAGGAAAATCACAACGTCAACCTCAACAGCCAGCAAAAAAAAACTAACAACACGGAGAATAACAAATGATGATGAAATTGAAATTATTGATTTCATAACAGGAAAAAAAAAGTCACAATTTATTATTCAATGTAATTATATACCACGAACTCTTCTATTTTATAATCAGCGTCGTCTATCTATTTTACCAACATTTCCATCAGTCATTTTTAATAATAGTCCACAATTATTATTAGCAAATGTATCGATAAATGAATTATCATCAGTACAATTAGCACGTCGTGAACATGGAAAATATCAATCATCTTTTAAAGTTTTAAATCCTGATCCAATAACACCATCATTAATGATTAAATTTTATAATCAAAGATTTGGTACAATTCTTGAATGTTTTAAATTAGATCGATCAATTTTAGATCATAATTATGCACGATTAGATGAATTTATTACATTATTTCGTTTGGCACGTTCAACTTGCACATATACCACAACCACCACCAGGTTATAAATTTCCTAAAAGACAAATTAAAACACAAGTCGAATTTTTTAAAAAGAATTTAATTAATGAACGATTTGTTAATGATATTTATGTTTATAATGCAAAAATTATTGCAGTTGTGCCACCAAATACAAGTGATTTATTTCGTCGTATTGTACATTCATTATTCGTTACACATACTGAAACAAAATTAAATGCATTAGGACATATATTTACAAATACAGATGCTGTTAATATTCGAAATGGAATTTGGTGTGCCAATTTAATACGTCGTACAATTGTTCCAACATAAAAAAATAGATCTTTTCAAAACTTTTTTCCTTTTTCTTTCATTTTCATTTTCATTTTCATATTTCATTTTTGCTTTTTCGGTTTTATTTTTGAATCATTTAATTTATATCATATTTCTTTCTTTCTTTCTTTTTTTGATTTTGATTTTGATTTTAGATTCAAAGATAATCAAAATGAATTCCAAAAAAAAACATATATATAACATTTGGTGGTTTCTTTTTTTCATTTTCATTTTCATTTTCTTTTTCTTTTTCTTTTTCTGCACGTGTACGTGTACTAGTTGTACACGTTTCTTTTTTTTGTTTTGTTTTGTCTTGAATCATTGTTCTCTTTTCTTTTCTTTTGATCCACGTGGTTATACATTTTGTTTTTCAAAAAAGATAAATTTATCTTTGAATTGCTCAATTTTCTTTTCTCTTTTTTGTTTTCTTATATTTGATCATATATACATTTATAATGATACATATATAGAATTGAAATAAAATCATTTCTTTATTTGATTTTTTGCCGGTACAATAAATATGTTGTCATTTGAATAATTTCATTCTAGTTCACACACACACAAATAACTAAATATTGGAAAAGTAATGCAGTCTTCAAGTCCTGTTTCCGATTTTGAATGGATAAAAAATATTAGTTATAATCCATTTGTTCAATTGATATTAATTTTAATATGTTTATTTTCATTAATATTAAATTACTATCTACAAAAGAAACTAATATATAAAATTGAAATGTTAAATAAAGATTTGATTAAAAAGAATAAAAAAATAAACAATTTACAAGATTTTCTACCATTAAAAACATATGAAATTTATTCAATTGATGAAACAACATCAGTAAATACAATAGAAGAATTAATTACAATAGCAAAACGAACATATGTAGTGACATTATTTTCATATGATGATAACAAGTTAAATATACATTATCTACAAATAGAATTGATACAAAATCAAAAATCAATTATAATAAATGTTGAATTTTTTTTTGGACATAATCTATTATTACCACAATTAGAGGAATTTTTATCGGTTATATTTCATCCATCAAAATTAATTCAAGTTTGGGGCAATATAAATAGATTTAGATATGACATTAATTTCAATCTAATCTATAATCGACATGATATTCGAAATTGTAATTTCGTTGATATACAGAATGATTTTGAAATATGGTATAATAACACTTTTCAACATAATCATCAAAATTCTGATCAAGAACTTGATTTTCATCATACAACAGATACTTCTGCACAATGTTTATGTTCATATCATTCATTAACAAGTTCAACTAATAAAAATCAATGGTCTCTTAAAAATGCTATCGAATATACATTTCAAGAAAATTTTAATTATTCCAATTTGCATCCTTATCAATGTCTAGCAATAACAAAACTTGCAATTATTATTTTTGAAAAATGGGATTATACAAAAACTCAAGATTATTTCAAAAATAAATCATATGAAACAAAAAAGTAGATTTGAATAATTTCTCTCATTGAATTCATGATTTTGTCTTTAGAATGAATACACAACAATAGTTCCTGGTGGTTCAATTATACAAATATATAAATGAACTAATCAATTTCGTTCGCTTCCTTAGCAAATAAAACTAGATTTTCAATGCTTCAAATTTTTTTTTGCTTTTCAAAATAAATTTTTTATATCTTTATCTTTAATTCATAATAATAATAATAATAATAAAATTCATTTCTTTTATATTCGTTTTGGATAAAAAATAAATTAAATAAAAGTCCTGAAGAGTACTATCTTTATAATGATACGAAACGCGTCGGCGTTAAATTAAATCTGCATTATTTTGTTTTTTCTAAAATCTAATTCAAGCACACACAATATATCAAAATATTAAATTTGACTTAATAATCGGTTGCTGAAAAGCAAAAGTTGAAAATAACAGATTGATTTATATTATTTCGGCAAAAAAATATATAGATTGATCTGTTTTCGAATATTTGAATTATTCACCCACACCCACACACCCTAGTTGCTGATATCAGAATGACCCACCAATTATAAATTTATTTAGTGCACCAAAACCTATATAAAGCAGCCAGTTTTTCATTATTCTCATTCACAACACACACTTATCTACAAGCAACACTACAGAAAGATCGATAATAAATGGGCTCTACACAAAACAATTAATTCTGTTTATAATGAATCTATTGAAAAATCAAATCGATATCCTATGAGTTATTAACATAATATCACTTATTCTATCAGTTATCGGTTCATCTGTTTTTTTTTGGATAAAAGCCCCTTCAATCCATACAAATATTAATGGTTATCTCTTATTCTCTTCTAGATATATATATATATATATATATACCATTATTATCTTACTTACGGCTTTGTGAAGAAAAAATGCCAATTCTGCGAGTCATCGAAACAAGCACCAAACAGCGGAATACAACGAATCATAATGCCGTTATCATTAGTCCTGGTGAAATGTCACTTCAAGGGTTTAGGTAAGCTTCCCTTTTCTCACCATCCACCGGTTATTTTTACTGATACTGATTGTTTCAAAAAACTGATTATGAGAAGAAGTATATTCTTGTCTTAGTGTAAAAATGAGTTACAAGCTTTCATGTTCAAACACACGCATATTTCGTTGCATGTGTGATTAATTACATACTATGCTTCAATATTGGTATATTTAATTCGTGTAATTTTTAGTCAGGTCGAAATATTAAAGTATGACACATGGCATATATTCAATGTCATCCGATCAGATGAAGTAATCGTGGGCTACATGAGTTTGTCAAAGCATGCGGTAACATTTTCAAAAATCTTTTATTAACTCACAGGCAATACTATATGTTTTCAGCGACGAATGTATCGTTTCCATTTGGGGAATCACTACCCGATTGAAGGATATTGTTGCTTAACGGTAGTCCCGCAAAATCCAAGATTTGACGGCTCAAAAATTGGAATCATAGGTCAGGACGCAACAATTGAAGAAATTTTAACATCAGTCTTTGGACGACGCCAACTTCGAGTACAGGATCGTTCTGATCTCAGTAAGCTTGGTTTCTATTAGCTTTACAATATGACTTCAAATCATTATAGCGATACAACCTATGCGTGGAGTCATATTATATGGACCTCCGGGAACAGGCAAAACTAGCATGATTAGGTATGTGCTCATAAAATTCATTTCATATTTTGTATATAGTTCTATATCAGGGCTATATGCAACTACATGAAAGTTGAGCCTCACATTGTCAATGGACCAGAACTTCTGGATAAATATATCGGCAATTCGGAGCAGGCCGTTCGTCAACTTTTTATTAAAGCAAAAAACGATCAAAAAAAGGTAATCATCAATTTGTACTAATGTCGTTTTGTTTC